GGGGGGGTAACAGCTTGCTTGGGGCTTCCTTGAGGCCTGTTGAATTTTAGAAGTCATTTGGAATAGACAGCTGGAGTCCCTACTTATCTCCCAATTTGGTGACACCGTTTACACGGACGTCCACTACAGTAAACTCTACAACTCGAGGCCCACCCTTCCTCACGCTTGCAGGTGGTCTTTACCTGCGCCTCCATCCTGCTCGTGTCTGGTTAGCTTCCCAACTACAGCTGTGGTGGTGGTGTAAATAGAGAAGTCATTTGGAATAGACAGCTGGAGTCCCTACTTATCTCCCAATTTGGTGACACCGTTTACACGGACGTCCACTACAGTAAACTCTACAACTCGAGGCCCACCCTTCCTCACGCTTGCAGGTGGTCTTTACCTGCGCCTCCATCCTGCTCGTGTCTGGTTAGCTTCCCAACTACAGCTGTGGTGGTGGTGTAAATAGGTAGTGGCAGAAATTAGCTCTGCACCTTGGCCATTTACCCCTGGACTGAATCTTGACATCTGCAATCAACAGTGGACATGGGAAATTAAGACAATGATCATGTCTAAGGTGTGGGTGTAGGACTAACTGTCCATGTCTCTCTGAATGCCAGTTCTGGCCAGAATGACTCAGGGCTCTTATCACCATGTTTCTGTATTGCACTGGAGAATTAGTGAGGATGGCTTTATGGCAAGGGGAAGAGTAATGGGAATAGGTTTTTCCTGGCTCTTCCTATGTGGCCATGGCCAAATCTCTTCCACTACTTTCCCCACACGGGAATAACACTAAATGGGGGTGGGCAATCTGCAGACCATGGGTAGCATACAGCCCAGCGGCATGGAGACTTTGTTTGCCGTGGCCCATCAGCAGGTTCTGTAGCACCCTGGGCAAATCTGCCAGACACCCAAACCGAATCCGTTTTCCTGCTCCTACTTGGGTCTCTCTCCCCTGCCACTTACAGGTGCCCTTGCTTTGGTGCTATCCCCGCAATGCCCACAGCAGGGCGCTCTTTTCTCAAATTCTGAGTAACTCCAATTCTGGGACGCTGCCTAAGAGCCCCTGGGGTTTCTAGGCAGGGCTGAGCTGGCGGACTACAGCGGACTGCCCCCCAAAAGCTGCAGCAAGCCAATGATACTAACTTAAAAAGAGAAGGGGGGGATTTCCCCAAGCAGACTCAAATCTTCCCTATCGCTGCTGCTTTTCATTTGGTGACAGCCCCTATGGATCTGCCAGTAGCTTATTCTCTCTGGGCCATGCTGCTCTTGGCATCTGAGGAGGACTGGCGTAGCAAGAGTGCGCTGAGGAATTGGGAGGGAAGGGGGGTGGATTGGTAAAATGCAGCCACTTGTATACCCAGAAGAGCTTGTGGTAACTGGAAGCTCTGGTTTTCTGGAGGGAGCCTGGTTGTACTAGGAGCTGAAAAGGCCACAAGGGGAGGGGAACCGGATGCTCCTGTGATGGCAGGGACTTTTTGTAGGGCTGGGGGCTCTCCTGGGGATGGGGATGTCACCAGCCCAGCTGCTGATCTGCCTTGTCTAAAATCTGGGGAAGAGGGTTTTCCCCTTCCCCGTCAGACTGTGACTTCTCCGTGCCACGGTCTGACAGTTGACCCTTTTGCCGGCTCTCAACGGGGGTTGTGGGTGCTGAAATGAGAATAAATCCGGTCTGCGATGGATGGGGAGGTCAGGCCTGTGTCTTCAAATCTGCCCTGTGCATTCCCCCATTCCCCGCACTAACCTTCTGCCCTGGCAGTTTCCTGTTTACATCCAAGCAGCTGGCCTGGGTCAGGCCAAAGGTCCAGTGGCCAGTGCCGGATGCTCCGTAGGGAATGAACAGAAGCAGCATCATCAAGTGATCCCTCCCCATCACCCACGCCCAGCCTGTGCGCTCTTCCTGTGCTTTCCTGACATCCCTCGGGATCTCCGGAGGGGATTCCTGTCGAGCCAGCTGAGCGTGGGCCTGGCTTCAGCAGCAAATGCTGGATTCGTGGACTGGCGCTCTGCTTGGGCAAGGTGGGCGATGGAGCTTATTGAACCCACTTGGGCTGTCAAATCCTGTTTAATTGGTTAACCAATGAAGCAGGGGTGGGCAGGGAGGCCCCTATCTCGCTGACAGGCCCCAGCAGGGTTGGAGCCTGTTCTCAGAGGCTGTTAGAAGTCCCTGTGGGTGGAGGGAGATGGATGGCAGGTGAAAATAAGCCCCAGTGCGCCGCTCCGGCAAGAGCTAGCTGAAAAGCCAGCCGGGAGCTGTTTAGAGCTGGCAGGGCCCCGGGTTGCAACAGGAGAGTGTCTGAAACAAAAGCGGCACCGCTAGCTGGAGCGAGCGGCACGGGGGGACTCTTGCAGGACTGGAAAGAGGCTGAGTGGCTCCCCCGGGGAGCCCAGCTTGCTGCCGGGCGTCTGGCTACAGTACTGCACAGCCAGGTTCCCGGTAAACTGAGCACTGCGGCGGCCACCCAGGAGACAGTCCAACGCTGCCCAGCTGATGAGCCGAGCACCCACAGCCGGCAGTGTGTGTTTATATGGGTGGTGCACATCCACATGTGCCTCGGCGCATGTGACAAAATTGATTCTGCACATGAATGGAAACTGCTATCCTGGCCTGGCGCTACTGGCACAATCCCTATATGCCTAGAAAGGGTTTTTTCTGTCTGTGGGAACATCCCTGCCCCCCGAAGCAGTAGATGAAAGCATTCTTCTTCCACCATAGCTACAGCAACACAGGTATCAGGGGGTGTACGTGCGTGGGTCCTCCCCCTCTCTACCCCGAAACTGAGGTAGCTATGCCAGCCTGACTTTTAATGGTAGACCAATGATTGCCTCGTTAGGGTTGCATGTTCAGCTGTAGCCATGGGAACAGAAATTGTACCGTTCGATTTGGATATCGTGTGGGCATGTCCCAGGGTGCACGAGGTGCTGGGCACCTAGAAAATACCAAGGCTAAAATGAAAATTGACCTTTTCTTGCAGTGGGACATTAGCAATGGTATCAACCGGGCAGGAGTAGCGGAAGGAGTATAACCCTGAAGGATGGGTAGTGAATGAACCACATAAGTGGCCTTCCTTCAGCTCGATGGGCTGCAAGATTGTCGTAACCTAGATGGATCGGGCTCCCTGTGCTGGCGTACCTAGAATGGAGAGGCTAAGTACAGCCCTGGCTCACCCAGAGAGGACTTGTCTACACTAGAAAATCACATTGTGTTAGAAACCACATAACCCTGATCCATACCGTTTAGTGCTCCGTGTAGCGAGGGGCGGGTGGGTCTGACGTTGCTAGCTGATCACCGCTGACCGGACCTTAGGGGTATTCTCAGTGAACGAACCCCAGTTTCAACCGCTGTCTATGCCGAGCATTAGGGAATGTAACTTTCCAGGGCAGAGGAACCCAAATGGGTTGGGAGTGGGGATAATTTTCCTTCCCCTTTTCTCCTTGAGCTGGGTAACACTAAAGGAATTTCAGAGCGAGCTTGCAGGACTGGAATTCATCTCCAAATTTGTCCTTGTTACGCTGGGCTGGAATAAAGACATTTGCTGAGGGGCCGCATTACAAAGCCAATTTCTCCTGCCTTTAACATCCGCATTTCCACATCAAAAGCTACGTATGGGGCATATTCAGCCCACTTAATTAGCCTCATTAACGGGGATCCTACAATTGACAGGTACTTCTGCTGCTCTATATATCTCTTGGTTTCTGCTATTTCCATTCCAGTCCATCCGATGGATTTTACCTACAAAAACTCACGATTCTGTCTATTCTGGTTAGTCTCTCAGGTACTGCAGGACTACTCAGCTGTTTTTAACAAGGTGACCTGTTTGGTGCTTTCTGCCAGCTCTGTCATTTAGGGTCATGGGGACTAATTGGATCCCTGACAGCTTACACTTCAGTTGTGTTATCGGTGGAGGAGGTGAGAAAACTCAGCCCCTGGTGCCTCGTTAGGAGCTGGCCTGGGTTGGGAACGCCACAGGGGATGCGAGACAGAGCAATCCTGCCTCTTTGCCTGCAGTGGGGGAAAGGGGAAGGAGAAGTCAGACCAATATGGAGGTTCTGTAGAAAGCCCCTAGCTGGACCAGTCAACGGGCAGCTGTGTCCAGATGAGAGAGGGCTGTGAAAAAACGGTATCTCAGCCTGTGCTAAGCTTGAGATGATGGAGCTAGGGCAACATGGTGCCTCCTCTTTGCACCGCTCAACACCGAAGCCGGAGCCTCTTGCATGATCTTTACCCCCTCGCCCAACAGGGAAGGTGCCCGGCCGGATGCTAAAACCAACAGCCTTCGAGTTCACTGCGGAGACAGCAGGTACGGTGCCAAATGGGACGCACTGATCCTACAGCAGCTGCCCTCGCGCACACACTCTGTTTTCTTCACTTGAAGTGGTGATGGGCCTGGTCCCTTCCACCTCCTCCTTTCAACCAGCCGCCTCCCTGGGAACAGCTGTCCCCTCCTTAGGGAAGGGGCGAGGACGAACATTCACTGCCCGCAGGCCCTTGGCTTGTGCTGGCAGATGCGTGGCAGGGGCTTGAGGTGGGGGGGACGTGACTGCGGGTGATTAGCACATGAAAAGAGGCTTTGCCCCCTCCCCTCTCTTCCCTGTGTGATCAAGGTGGCTTGGCCTAGGGACGCGCCTGCTTTCCCAAGTCACTGGGGCCTTCTCTGGGTTTGCTATTACTCAGGATTCAGCCCCGGGCGGGAGCCAGGCATCCCGGTAGCTGCAAAAACATCCACAGGCAGCCAGAAGCAAAAGCTGCAGCTGGCTGTGCTCCCATTTCCCCCTCCCCCCCCCCACACCTGGGTCCGCTCCCCCGGCGCAAACTCCCGCTGCCCTTCTGGATGCTCAGGGTTAGC